ACTTGCATTAAGTAACACAAGGTAACTAACATTTTTTTCCCCACCACTGTCTGGTCACTAGAGACAAAGAACATAATTATCATCAAACATTCCAAACACAGCTTGTCCACAGGCAGAACCTGCTCCACACTTCTGTCACAGTGTTTGCATACAGATGCCTCTTTTGAGAGTTCCTGACCCTATCAATGCCAGGCATCAGGTCTCACCCAAACCACACTTTCAAATGGAATCACAGAATGCCTTAGATTGGAGGGGACCTTAAAGATCACCCAGTTCTAACCCTCTGCCATGGGCAAGATTGCTACCCACCAACTCAGGCTGCCTGTGGCCCCATCCAACCTAGCCTTGAACACCACCAGTGATGGGCACCCACCACCTCTCTGAGCAATCTGTTCTTGTGTCTCACCACTCTCACAGCACAAACTTTCTTCCTAACACCCAGTCTAAATGTCCCCTCTTCTAGATTAAAGCCCTTGATCCCTTGTCCTATCACCATGTGAAAAAAAATCAGTCTCCCTCTTGCCTGTAAGCTCCTTTCATGTCCTTTCATGGAGGGCCACAATGAGGTTTCCCTGGAGCCTTATCTTCTCCAAGCTGAACAAACCTAACTCCCTCAGCCTGTCTTCACAGGAAAGGTTCTGCAGCCCCCTGAGCATCTTCATGGCCCTCCTCTAGATCCACTCCAACAGCTCCAAATCCCTCCTACACTGGGGCCCCATATCTGGATGCAGTTCTGCAAATGGGGCCTCACGAGGGCAGAACAGATGGGGACAATCCCCTACTTGCTCAATGCCAGCTCTCTGTTGATGCAGCCCAGGATACCTGGGTCTTCCAGGCTGCAAGTGCACTCTACTGGCTCACATTCAGCTTTTTGTCCATCAGGATCCCTTACTCCTTCACCACAAGGCTGCTCTCAAGTCCTACTTCCAGTCTGTACACATATCTGGAATTGCATCAATCCAAGTGCAAACAAGCCCTCAAGCCTCTCTAGGGATGGCTAAAAAAATATGGTGCTCACTCAACTGTTATTACTATCTGGCCTTAGTTTGGATCTTTTCAACATAAATTTAAGCTGCAGACAATTAATTTGCCTTTTTGGTTGAATGCAATCTTGATATGGATGTGGAAACAAAAAAAGAAAACAGAAGAGACATTAAAAAGGCATAAGGTAGAAGCATCGAGGCAAGGAAAATAAGAAATCACTCTTTTTCCCCACTATCCTTCTTGCTCCTAACCTATCATAGTCCATTGAAAGTGTGCAATGAATGGTGCACAACATCCTCTTGGGACAAACTGGCAGGGCGCATTTCTAGATAAGTCTTGGCATGAGATGCGGGATAAAAGAACATGACAGCTTAAAGAGCAGAGAAGTGTCTTTAATTACAGTGGGTAGAGCTTATGGCAGAAAAAGTGATGCTCTACTGCATCCTCCTGAGTCCAGCTCAAGACACCATGCCAAACAGCTACAGAGAAATTATGTAGAAGTATTAAGAATGCCAAACTATAAACAAAAGTAAAGGCAGACACTAATCAATCCTCTATTCTTCATAGAAACCTCTGATGCGTAGGTGACTGTGTAATCATACCCTCCCAGTGGGACATGTGGCTTCTAATGTAAGAAACACATATTACAGATAAGCAGATCTGTCAGGAACAGATAATGAGAAAAATCAAGGGTCAGTATGCCTCCAAGAAAGACTCGGTTATACAAAGTTAGGCGTAAGACCTTCAGGCAGGTCTGTCTTTTTCAGAAATTCATTATGCTATGCAAAGTCATGATGCTACTGAGTTACAGTAACATTACAAATTTATGCAGATTACTGTACATTCCATGTTGTAGAATACACATATTATATTCATCTATATCTGGCCTTCTGTTCATGCAGTCTCCAGAAACGTAAACTGACACAAACCATCTGACCAAAATGAAGTTGGGTCTGAGGCACTTACACAGATTGCATAGGGATGAGGTGGGTGCCCCATCCCTGCAGGCATTCAGGGTCAGGCTGGATGGGCTCTGAGCACTGATGGAGCTGTGGGTGTTCCTGTTCACTGCAGGGAGTTGGGCCAGATTGTCTTTAAAGATCCCTTCCAACTCAAATGATTCTATGATTCTAACTTTCCGCTGACTCCTTAAAGACCATTTTCTTTGTTCGATCCACTCCGGAATGTTTTCTTCTCTTAGTAGAGAAGACACCAGGATACTGATTATAATCCTTCCTCAGCCATTCACCAGTTTTAAACAGTCATAATTAGATCCAATGTTGTGCAATTAAATCAGCCCTAAATAGATGCTTATGTAGGATATTACTAAAACAACAATAACTTGCAACCACAGGTCACACCCTGCTTTATATAAGCTGTAGCTTATTTAGTGGGGTCAGTATCCGAAGCCTTTCATTACTTATGCTGGTGGGAGAGGATTCAGAAAGTTGCTGCACACTTTTGTAGCCATAGCCTCAACTACCCAAGTGTGGAAAAGAAGAAAGAAACCTTATGGCTGGTAAGTTTAAAAAAAAAAAAAAAAGATAAAAAATAAACCATAGCTTGATTGCTCCAGTCATCACTTTTCCAATACAGATAAGTGACATTTGCTGCAAAAATAGGATAAATTACATCTCATAGTTCTTGGAAAATTAGCACTTTTTAGGTTATACGCATTTATTGATTAATCTATTCAAAATTTATTTGATATAATGTGTCTTTAATGGTATGTTGGTTGTTGCTTTTTGTTTTGTTTTTTAACTCATGTAACAGAAAAGTAGAAAAAGAAACTATTTTTTTTTTTTTTTAACCATATCCATTAACTGCTCCACACAGTGCCTCAGCAGCTTTGTTGGATAGAGATACAAGCATCAAACTGCCACTCAGAAACGCTGGGCTCTAATCCCTTTCTGATACCGAACTCAACAAAGGTCATTTGATGGCCTCCAGACCCCATAACCCCTTCACTGCAAAGCAGTTATGTCAGCCTGTGTGCTCCTTGGTGGAAACACAACCCTAATATCTACGAATTGTATTGCAGTTCTGCAGAACGTTGCTTATAAGCATGTTCCCAAAGTCTATCCATTAGAGGAGAAGCACTTTCCCAAACAACTTTTTTAGGACTCTTTTCAATGGTACATTGTCAGGATTATTGGAAGTCCTTCCCCCCCCCCCCCCCAAAAAAAAAAAGAGAGATACTGAAACCAGAAAAAGAGATCATAAGATTAAAATTAAAACTGTAACGATTAATTTAAGGAGAAAGTTGGAAGTACACACCGGCAAAGACTGGCATTAGATTTTTATTGTGACTCGTGACATGTTCACTAGAAACATCTCTAACTACTAGCTTTGGAAGGTGAGCCAAAATATTAAGGCAGTAAATCCTTAGAGGCAACAAATGCTAGTCACTGTTGGTTTGTAGGTTTTGTTTTGTTACTTTTTTTTTTTCTTGTTTCTTTTTCTAAGTTTTCCTACTCCTCCTAGTGTCATTTCTTACTCTGTTGTACATTTTGTCTTCACCTGTGACATTCTGCACCTACCAGCATTTATTAGGTCATTAAACATCACAGTCCCATCAGCATCCTTAAAAGCATCTCAGTTGTTATTATGTATATGCTATATTTTTGTTTGCCACTACACAAAATGTTCTCTGTTATCTGCATCACTGCACAACTAATGACACTCTCCAAGACATACCTCTTTTCCTTGCACATGAAGCCGGGACAGCTTTCATATGCCCCAAATTCAGCAGTCTTAGAAACCTCTTTTTTCTCTTACATGCTTCTATTTAACTTGTAGAGTTCAGGAAAAATAGTGGTAGGATATATACAGCTGAAGTGTTGCAAAACAAACTTCTTTTAAAGCTCTGATCTCAGGAAACATGTTCCAATTCACTCTTAAATTAGAGGACTTGATGGTAGGATTATTGTTTGCTGTAGGTTCATTTCAATTAAACATATTTAAGCCAGGAAAATAAAGTCATGGTGCAAGTAGAAGCTTTATAGCTATTTCACATCATGTAACATAAACATTACTGCATATACCTATTACTGTACACTGTTGTGCAAACACAGCAGAAAACTCAAGTCCCTCCCCTCCTCTATTCTTGTAGTAGAACCCTATCAGTTCCTACAGAACACAGAATGGTTTGAGTTGAAAGATATCTTAAAGACCATCTAGCTTCAACACCCTGCCATGGGTGGGGACATCTCCAGACATCTCCCACCACAGCAGGTTGCTCTAAGCTCCACCTGACCTGGCCTTGAATGCTTCCAGGGTGGGGATCTCCACAACCTACCCAGGCACACTATTCCACATCTACATCCTCACAGTAAAAATTTTCTTCCTTATAACCAATCTAAATCTCTTTTAAAACCATGCCTCTTGTCCTATCATTACACAGTCTGGTAAAGACTCTTCCTCCATCTTTCTCGTAGGCCATTTTTAAGATTTGGAAGGCCGCCATAAGATTCTCCCAGAGTCTTCTAGGCTAAATAATCCCAACTCCCTCAGTCTGTCTTCAAGGGAGAAGTGCTCCAGCTCTCTGACCATTTCAATGGCCCTCCTCTGGATCCATTCCAATAGGTCTGTCTCTCTCTTATTCTGGGCTCCCCAAAGCTGAATGCAGTGCTCTGGGAGAGGTCTCACAAGAGTGGAGCAGAAGGGGAGAATCGCTTCCCTAGACCCACAGGTCATGCTACTTTTGATACAGCCTAGGAAACGACTGGCTTTCCAGGCTGCAAAATTTGAATTTCATTTCAAGTGATACAAGATGGTGCTAAACCAAGTCCTGTATCTCAGTTCAGTGAAAGAGAGAAGAGCATCTTTCAACAACCATTAGTTTGCAAAGGCCTAACATGCCCTTGTCTCAACAAGAAATTTTCAAGTCAAAATCCTCTGGAGTGTTGTACTGCAGAAAGGCATCTTTCCAACACATGTGTTCATAGAAGGATCTATTTATTTATAATTATTATTATTAATTAAAGAACAAGAAAGGTTTGAAAGCTTCTGTAATCTGTGTTTTAGTATCTCATTATAAATGCAGAGAGCAACCTATCTGATGCAACAGAACAACCCATTGCACTGTCTCAGACAGCTTATTATCTGTCCTCTAGCCATTGCCTATTTCTGACAGAGTATGAAATAACACAAGGTATGACACACAAGCAAAAAGTTTCTACCTTAACTGAGATGCACATTCTCTTGTCTTGTATGTTCTGAGTTTGACAATAAAGATATTAGCCTTCTATTCATCACCTGTCATACTGTTGCAGGTTGAACTTGCATATGAGTTCTAATATTTCTTTACATACCTCTGTGAAGCACAATGGAAGCTAAGATCCCTGTAGGAAGAGCTGTTCGTTTAGCTAGTTTATTGTTGCAACTTTATTTTTTCATAGCTTGATGGTGGATTTTTCTGTTTTCCTGGAACATTTAACTTCAGCTATACATAAATTGAATGAAGCAACATTAGACAAGCTGACAGGATGTATAAGTTTAAAGGAATGTTTTCCATTAACTTATTTTACATTTTTCTAGGCCAGAAAATAACGAACATTGACTGGCACTCTAAGCTAAATAAAGCTGCACACCACACATCTGATTACAACAGCACGCAAGTGATCTTGAGGAGAGGACAGGCTTTCACTATTACCCTAAACTTCCAAACAACAGTGCAACCTGAGGACAACTTCACATTTATTGCAAGCACAGGTAATTTCCTCGTGGCGCTAACCTCCCATCTTGGCTGCTCCAGCTCCAGACACTACTGCCTCATAGCTTTCAGTGTGATCGTTAACCTTTGCTCCATATCACTCAATTATTTTAGGCTTAGGAGTGCCCATTCTAAACCTCAATGGGCATCCTAAGCCAATAGACAATTAAGGTAATAATAAATGGAAAGGCACAGGCTATTCTCATACCAAAAAAAAAACAACAAAAAAACCCAAAACCAAAAACCCAACCCCAAAACAAAACACAACAGACCAAGCCTGTATTTCTGCTTTTAAAGACCTACCTGAAATACTGCATGTTGTCTTCATCTTGTGAATCCTGAACTTTCTGCAGCTCCACATCTTACAGACCACCATTATGTATTTGTTCATCTTTTTTAGCACTCCACCTGTTTAACTCTGCTTGATTAACTTCAGGTGTTCTTTATTCCTGGAAAGTTCACACTACCTATTTACTAAGGCTCTCATCCCTATCCTCCAAAGGGCCTTCTCTGAAAAAAAATTTCCAGGCAGCTGCTAACTCTCTAATGAAATGAATATTACAACCTGTGCCCCATCTTGCCTATGCAAGACCATACCTATGCAAGACCTTTCAACCATTGGATTTTCAGTTCAAAGGCTTGCCTCTTCAATTCTCTAGAATGACTGTGGGAGTACTCACCTTGACTAGGTCATGCATTTAACACAGAGGCCCCATAGGGTGTTTTTATGCATTGGATTACAACTAACTTACACTGGTCTGATGAACCATAATCCTTCAATGCAGCAAATGAAATAATCGTTGATCCTGGCTTGTCACCCACAATTCCAATCACTCGGAATTGCTGTCTCCTGTTCCCTCTGGCAGGACTATCTTCAGCAGAATCACAGCAGACCAAGGTCATATTTCACCTTTCTGAGGATGCTGCCAATGGCTGGAGTGCAACCCAAGAGCACTGTGAGCCTGGCTGCATGAGTCTCGTGATAACCAGCCCTGCCAATGCCATCATTGGACGATACAAACTCAAACTCCAGATTGCTTCTGGCAACAAGACCTCTTCAGCACTCCTAGGCCAGTTTGTGTTACTCTTCAATCCCTGGTGTCCAAGTACGTTTTATTGTATTATGTTCTTCAGGAAATCTGGGTGCCACAGTAAAGCATGTACCTGACAGCAACAGCATGACACAGTACGATATTTTGATCTACATAAAGGATGTTGGTTTTGCTCTTTCTTCAGTGCTTCAGTGCATCAAAGATCCAGCTTTCTGCTTCTTGAGAGTAAGAAATTAGAGGAAGGAAATATTTCAAATACTTATTCTACTTTTTTTTTTGTCCTCTGATAGTGTGTTCTGTTGTAAGTGACACAATATCTACCAGTAAGACACACGACAAGATCAGGGAAGCAGTGAAAAGACAGAAGCATACTCAGTTCCCATAAGATTAACTTCATGCTAATTTTATTCACTCTGTGAATGATTGCAGGGGTACAGCCTCACCTGTTCCTCAGAAGTCCCCTTAAAGTTTTTTTTTCAACTGTAGCAAACCAACAATCCTTTCAGCTGGCATTTCTCATTCTGCTTCTAGATGACGATGTCTATATGGCTAATGAAAAGGAGCGACAGGAGTATGTTCTGAATGACAGCGGAATCATATTTCAGGGAAAGGAAAAATATATTCAGCAAGAAGCCTGGAATTATGGACAGGTAAGCAAGGAAAAAAGGAAAATAAGAGTGAGTGCATGGATGAGGGTCTTATGGACAGAGAGTCCTTAGTATAAGAGTATCATAGCATAGGAGTTCAGTATTCCTTATTCATTTTTTTCTTGCCAAACTATCAGTTTTCTACACATCACAACAACATCAGGATCTTTTCCCCTCTGGCATGTACTAGTAAAAGAAATAAGAAACAAAACACAATTTGAGGTGTTATTGTTTCATTAGTCTTTTGTTGTTGTTCTTGTTGTTAACAAAGTGGAGAAATTCTACTTTTTTTTTTCTTGTCCCCCGTAGAGGGCAACGGAAACTACACCAGCTGTAACTTCCTTTTATTGAAAGATTGGTACACCTAAATATTTAAAAAATTGACCTAGTAATGGGGCAGAATATCCCAAAGATACTCAGCTGAAACAACTCAAGTTGGAATTTTAAAATACCAGTTTGGCCTTCTAAACACATCTGCTATTAATTTGATCATACCTCCAGCTCATCTGTGGTTACAGAATTGTCCTGCAATTTGTGAGGTCAGTCAAAACCACCTATGGCCATTTCATGGATAACAACTGCACCAACAGTTTCTCTCTTTCTCTGTCTTTCTCCCTCCCTTTTTCTCCTTCTCCCTTTCTTTCTTTTCCAGTTCATATAATTTGATACATGGTGCAGGCAGCCCATCAGAGCAAGGTTTTTGTAATATGAAGGGGAGAGTACCTGCTGGGACACGGCAGGATGTGGGAGGAGGTGAAGCCTGCTGAGCCAGTCCTGGAATGGTCTTGTCTGGACCACTAGGCCATGCCTGGGAAATTTTTCATGAATGTTGTGGTACCAAAACGTGCTTCTAAACATGCTGGTTGCTAATTATTACTAGTAGAATTAAAAACTAGTGTAGTGTTTTTTCTTTCTTACTGTATCTATTTTCTTTCATAGTACAGAAAAATCTCAGATAACCATCATCCTATCATCCTAGGAGAAGGAAAATATAGAGAGAGTTTATTCTTGCTTTTATTTATAAAATTAAATGCAATAATGATGCTTCTTTTGATTTCAGTTTGAAGAAGACATCCTTGATATATCTCTGTCTATACTGGATCGAAGCCTGAACCACTGCCAAGATCCATCCACTGATGTATCCAACAGGAACGATCCCATCTATGTGTGCAGGGTTATTAGTGCTATGGTAAAGTGATCAGCTAGTTACAGCTGTACAGTGTACCTACTAACAAAAACCTCAGTGTTTCTACTGTGAACCTTCTCAATGTCATATAGAATGTGTTTGGTTTTTACTGGAAAAAAAAAAAAAATAGAGAAGAAGAATAAGAGAGATCTCAACTCAGTGAAAAGTCCCCCAAAAGTTTAATTTTCCTTCGTCCCAAAAGTTTGCTCATAATTGAAGGAACGAAGAATGTTTCTAAGACGTTCTGACACCAAATTACAGCAGTCTTCCTAGCAGATTTTAAGGCCATTAGCTATTTTCTCTAAATTAGAAAGTCTATTCTGAAATCATTTGCTCTGTTTCTCAAACGCCAAAAGATGCATGAAATATTTGTGAAAACTAGTATTGATATGATTGCATTTAGTGTATTTATACTGTATTCTTCACTTTAGGGGAGTTTGTTCAGTGAGGATGGTATGCATTTCTTTCAACAAACAGTTGCATCTCCTCAACAATTCCCCATCCTCTAGATAGAATACGGTCTATTTCTGCCTCTCCCTTCTTCTGTCCGTATTGCAATTCTCTCATGAGAAGCACTGTTTTCAGGTTAACAGCAATGATGAAAAGGGAGTAGTGGAAGGGAAGTGGAGTGGAAACTATCGCTCAGGAACCAACCCCTTGCACTGGAGTGGAAGCGTGACCATCCTTCAAAAGTGGTACAGAGGGAGATACAAACCCATCCGGTACGGCCAGTGCTGGGTCTTTGCAGGAGTTATGTGCACAGGTATACGTGAAGGGGAGAAGAATACTATCAGAAAGGAATCTTACTAGAATTTAAGTAGCTTTAACCTTGTGATGCTACTTAAGATATATGAAGAATGAAAGATTAAAATGAGTAAATCTAACTCTTCTTAAAAAGAACAAGGCAGTTAAAAATGCTGTGTGAATGGAACTGTCTTCTAAGCAACAGTGCACAATGACTATGTGACATCCCTGCACCGTATCAGAGGAATGTTTCTCCGTCAGAATAATGGAGAAATACTTTCCAAAAGTCTGTAAAATAGGTTTAAAGCACTTTTATCTGTATTGCAGTTCTGAGATCGCTGGGAATACCTACCCGTGTTATTACAAACTTTAACTCTGCCCATGATAGTAATATCAACCTGAGTATTGACAAATACATCGATGTTTCTGGAAAGACCCTGCACCTGACTGAAGACAGCGTGTGGTAAATACAATTTTTATCTTAATATTTCTTCCACTATGTTCTCCTCTAGTAACAGGATCTAGAATCACTCTCCTGAAAACTCACCCCAACCTCATGCTTCCAAAGATATAAAATTCCATAGCAAAGAATCAACAGCACACCGTGTTCAGAAATGCAGGATGTAGTCAGTTTCAACATTCTGAAGAATCAGCAGAGGAGATATTTGGCACACTTGCTGTTCAACACACAGTTGGAGGATACAGCCTCTAATTTTGTTTCTACTATATGACAGCTTTTTTCCAAAAGAAAGTTAAAGGAAGAGTGATTAACTGCTTGATTAAAATGAACTAATTTGTTCCTCAATTCCTAGAACTCCCAGAAGCCCGCAGGTTTTAGACGCAGCTCCTGTTGACTGTCTCAGTCTTTCTACCATTGTACAACCCTTGCACTGTATTAGAGGTTACTAAAGCAAAGCCAATATATTTAATGCAATGCCACCCCATCACTTAGGAAGGACACGTTATTTCTTTCACCTCAGAGGAGCTATTTGTTAAATATGATGCTTCTAACAAACAAGTGAACAGAAACTAACACACTGCATGTATACATTGCACTGCATGTACCAGTGTTTCAGACCACAAACACCCTCTGCTATTTAGACTAAGTGGGACAAGGGTGACACAAAGTAGAATTAAATACCACAAGACAGCAATGTACACCAGAGACCTTGTTCTGGAACATGTCAGTTCCAACTGATATGTTGTTTTGGAATATCCAGATCTGAATACTTGACTCTGCAATAAATATATATTTTTTAACATTACTTTGTGTGTAACACCCCAATATTTCGGAGAGGTCTGAATACAAAAAAGACAGAGGGGGAAAAAGGTATTGAAGAAAGGAGGAAGCAGCTATGCAGAGGAGCATGGTTTGTTCTTGCTCTGCACCACAAATTTATCCTATCTTTCAACATAAAATTGATTGTATTAATCAAAGATTTCCTAATTTCCCTCCTTCCTTCCCAGGAATTTCCATGTCTGGAATGAGAGTTGGTTTACTAGAAGAGATCTTGGATCTTTTTATGATGGATGGCAGGTTTTAGATGCAACACCCCAGGAAAAAAGCAAAGGTAACACTGTTGTAAATAAAAAAAAACCCTGTAGATACTGTTCCTTCTAACCACTGCTACTGAAATTGTAGGATGATTCTCTCTACTCTCTTAGAAAAGATGTAGCATACCCTCATCTCCAGCAGGCTACCCTTCTGTCAGCCTCTGGAGTGTCTACCTGCATGCAGATTCTTACTTTTTCTGCTCATTAACCTACACAAAAACAAATGCATCTTAAGTTCACTTATCTTACCCTTGCCTGCCTCAGCTCCAAACACACATTCACAAAATGATGCAGAACAACTAAGGTTAGAAGGGACTTCTGGAGACTGCTTACTCTGCTAAGTGCAGGCTCAATCAGAGCAGTTTTCTCAGGACCACGTCCAGCTGGGTTTTGAATATTCCATAGGATGAAGACTTCGCAACCTCTCTGTGTGTACCATTCCAGTGCTTGACCACCCTCACAGTAAAAGAGGTTATTCCTTATGCTTAAATGGGATTTTCAGTTTGTACTCATTGCCTCTTGTCCTTTCACTGCTCATCATGAGGAGAGTCTGATTCTGTCACCTTTGTACCTGCCCATTAGATATTTATATATCAAAGCTCCTGGTTCATCAATGCTGCACATATAGAGATGACTCACATCTGAGCAGCCTGACTGTGCCGAGAGCTGCCAGCCTCTTCTCTCTTTTCATTTGACAGGTCAGCATACAGCCTCGCAGGCTTTGGAGGATCAAAACAATTCTAACAGCACAGAAAGCATTACATACATCTTTTCAGCTTTACAGCCTCCTTGTTTGTGCCTTCTGATAGAAAATGCATGTTGAATTTCTGAAGACCCAGTAAGAATGGAATTCATCAAAACATGTCTTTGGAGATGTGACTACCTTTCCCTTTTGCTGTCAGCAGGAGGATTTGTGGCCTGCACCTGATCTTTTGCAATTGGTAATCACTTAACATCTCTCTCCCTCACACAGGCATCTATCAATGTGGCCCAGCTTCCACCAGAGCCATTAAGGAAGGACATGTGAACCTGGATTATGACAGCTCATTTGTGTTCGCAGCAGTGAATGCTGACTGTGTCACTTGGATTCAGCACAGCAACAAAAGGAAGGAGAGAATTTACTCCAATACCAGGAAGATTGGAAAATTTATTAGCACCAAAGCAGTGGGCACCAACACCCGAGTGGATGTCACTGATAATTACAAATATCCAGAAGGTAAATTCTTTCTATTTTAAGAGGAGATGGCATTTACCCCAGCTTACGCAGAAGAATTGAGCTCTTCTAGGAGTTATTTTTCCACTGCTAAGAGTTTCTAACAGGTGCCCAAGAACAACCAGCTAAAGCTAACAGCCAAATTTTACTTTCCAGCCATCGTAACCATGTATATTCATTTAGGAGTTTTTTTAGTCAAAATTAGCTTTTGGTTAGGCCTCAATTTCTCCTCTGATGTATCTTTCCCAGCCTTCCCAAACTTTAATTACTGAGAGCAATTCTGGTTTAATTGCCCTATATCCATCGTATCTGAGATCTTTGACCAATTTATTTTTTAAAGCAGGATCCTCCAAAGAAAGGCAGGTGTACAAAAAAGCACTGAAGCTGCTGGGTGTGAGAAACACTGGAAGAAGAAAAAAAGTTACAAAACCCAGGACACGATTTCCAGTAGCACGGAGACAAAATATGGCAGCAACCACACGAAAACCCACTGTCTCAGGGAAGCTGAAGCTGGATGCATCTCCTGTAATAGGCCAGGATATCCCCCTCACCTTGGCACTGCAGAATTTGACTGCAGATTTCAAGACCATAAAGGTTAAACTGAAGGCTTCAGCTGTTCTCTACACAAGAAAACCGAAGGCAGAGATCTTGCAGTGGTCTAGGTCTGTTCAACTTGGATCTGAAGAAGGTAATTTTAATCTTATTACAGCTCAGGACAAGATGTAGCTTTAGTCTGTGTCCAAATCATACAGACATCATGAATGTCTCAGAAAGCCTATAAATGGTCTGAGCTTAGAACTATTCAGGTGAACAGAAACTTACATATTCGCCCTCTTTTAAATGTTTGCTTTTGGACACTGTCAGGAAAGATCCTTTTGTAGTAACAGGACAGTAACCGCAGTTTGCAGTAAGAAAGAACTACACTACTTGCAGATGAAGGCCTTTTGCCTTGCTGTTAGAGGAGGAGTGCTGAATAACAAAGCATAGGACAAGTGAACACAACTACCCCCTCAAACTAATCCACAATATTACAACTCCTTCCGCCACGCCAAGAGTGGATGAGAATTATTTCTCAATGTGCTGAGAACTGCACTGCCTTCCTAATTGGTAAGTAAGACAGAATGTGCATCCTCTGACAGTAAGAAAGAGGCTAAACAGCTGCATCAGCACAGGCATTTAAATCAGGCCATCTTTTCACTTTTGCCTCCTCTGCAAGAACAGAATGCAAAATTCCCAGCTTCAGATTCATGAGAAAGCACCAGAAGGGGCTGCTACATAAATCCATCCTCAGATCTGCCCAGCTAGCAAACTATACCCAATCACTTGGTGTTTAATGCAAATATAAGTAGAAGTCATCTCTGAGCATCATTTCCATCTATGGGCTGTCAACATCCAAAAGTGAACAGACCCAAGGTGACAGTATCATTGTTCCCTAAAATATAGGTATCCTGAGCATTATAGTACTTAGAAAATAAAAGAATGGAAATATCTGCTTCTGATTGCATTCCAGTGAAAGAGATCTCATTCAAGATCACCTACTCCCAGTACAAAAATGCTCTGCTGGATGACAGGAAGATCCTAGTGACTGCTGTGTGTGAAGCCAGACAGGGAGCATCACTTCTACTGGAGAAAGATATTGTACTTCAGGATCCTCTTCTCACCATTGAGGTAAAAGCCAGTCCCTTCTGTGTCTCTGTGCCTATTGCACTGTAAGCAACCTGCAAGGAGCAAAAGAATTTCTGTGTTTCCTAGCCTCCAGACTAAATCTGCACACCCACAAAGGAAAACAAAGGTCTGTAAGATGCCTCCTGTGCAATATTGCATAGCATCAGCTTAATAGGGCAGACACCTTAGTGACTGAATTTCTAAAAGGTTTTGTGTTTCTGTTGATTGAAATTCCTGCATAAGCATACATCCAGTGACAGGAAAATACAATTAGGGTGCTGGACTTCTTCTCCATCATTATCTACAAAGACAAGCAGATGTGCCAATTCCATATTATCTCAGTCAGAATACGGTAATGAATACATTTATTGCTATTTCACATTCTGATTCTTTTGCCTGAGATGCCACAATTCACCTGTGTCTCACACTAAATCCCAAACCATTCATTTAGCCTAACTAAAGCTAATTTCATTTAAGCTGTCTACAGCAGTTGGCCGTATATGCCAAGATAATACTTGTATTTTTTTCTGTTCTCACTTTTAAGTATCATACAGATATAGCATATAACACTGTATTCCAGCCCAGTTAAAACACTGGGAATTATTGATTCCACAGTAGTTCACCACTCCTCAGACGCAGCGGATGGCCGACTCAAGCCTGCACTCTCATGCCCCAAAATATGTACATAGATTAATTCCTTACTCCTTCCTATTGAGGGCATCCTGAGAAGATTAGTGGTTTGCAATGGAATTTAAACAGCAAACTGTGAAAAAGAAGCGAGGTCAATACTGAAGCTGAGCAGAATGTTTTTTCTCTGTAGGTCCTTGGTCCAGCAGTGGTGCACAAGGCCACTAACGTGCTGGTCACATTTACCAACCCGCTGTCTGAAGTGGTGACAGACTGCGTGCTGAGAGCAGAAGGCAGCGGCCTGCTCAAAGAGCAACTTAAAATCAAGTACGTAAATGGTGTTTGGTGAATAACTCATTCACTTTGGTGGGAAATCCAGAACACAAAAGAACTTTTTTTGAAAGATTCCGTCAACCCCATGACTTTTGTTTGCACTAAGATTGGACAGAACATCACGTTAGCACTCCCCATATCTAGCTGGAATATTTTGCCCCTCTATTGGCAAACTTTGAATTACAGAATGCTCAGGGAACAGAGAGAGCATGCTTTTAATGACAGCACGTAATTTGGAGTGCTGTAGTTAGTGACTGGGTTATGTAAATAGTTAAAAAATTCAGACCTTTCTTCTTTCTGTGGTTCACAAAAGGAAAAACAAAAAATCCTTGAAGGATAAGAGGAAAAGCATTACTCTCCCATTGCCTCTATGGTTGTTAGTTTAAAAACATGTTTGAAAAATCTCCAAAGTATTTAGACTGGGAGAGTTAATACCAGGAAACTCTAAGGGGGGGGAAAAAACAGAGGAAGATGGATAATTACATGCATCACTGGGGCTTCATTTATACTGAACACAAAGTTCTGTGCAGTGTTGAGGTAGCTGTGGACATGGTAGTTTACGTCCACACGTGGAACACACAAACACACCAGTTACATACCCCAACTCTTCCTTTTTATATTGTCTGACATTCAGGAAAGAATATATGGAAATAATTTCTCTGCTGCTTGAACTTACCAACATATCCTGTCTCTTAGTGTGGCAAGAATGGCCCCCATGGAGACCTCAACAGCTGAGTTTGAGATCATTCCCTACAGGAGCGGCATCAGGCAGCTTCAGGTGGACTTGGCTTGCATCCGATTTTCAAACATCAAGGGATTTGTGATGCTTGATGTGGCTCCTGCCCAGTGATACAACCTTTACACCAGTTCAGTTTTGTCTTGGTTCACGAGACTGGCACAGTGCTCAAACATTATAAGGACTAGAAATGTAGAAATGCAGATTACTCGGCCAAAGCAAGTGACAAAATATGAACTGAAATCAACAAAAAGGTACTATACACTGTACTGTTCTTAGTTTTGCATAGTAGCTCAGGAGAAAGTTTCACAGCAAAAACTTATGCCTATACAGCTTTGTTGATAGAAATGACATACTTTCTGTCTGCACCTTCCTAATTTAAGTGCTGCCAAAAGCTTTCAGGATTTACATGAATATAACTCTGGCCTGACTGCTGTTTCATTGCTTTTTAAATACAAATGACAGCAAGACAAAGGTGCCAGTCTGGAAGATTTGCTGCAGGAAATACTGACTAAGCTATTCTACTGGCTCAGAGGGAATGACCCTAAACTGTATCATCTTCATAAGAAATGGCAGCAGTTTCCTTGGAGTATTTACTATTTTAGGCTTTGCTAAGCCTAAACATAAGCAATTTCCTGAAAATAAAAATTAATGTGTGTAGAGATCCACTTTAGATGCTCTCTGGTTTTGTAACATTGCCTGCTTCTAGTCTGAATCTAATTTAGGCTGTAATAGTCATCAGAATCTATAAGCAGCACAGGCAAACAGTCAGTGCATTGGTCCTAATTATTTTGGAATGATGCGCTTTGATTACATTGGACCTGGGGGGGGGGAAGAGGGAGAGTCACATGGGTAAAGATTGGGTGTTTTTTGTTTACTCCAGTTCAGCAACTTCTCCCTGCTCTACCCTGAAGAATTGGCTGAACTTGTCAGTGAGACCACTTGAGAAAAAGGAGCCCACTACAAGTATTGCTGTTTCGTGCTAGCTTGACTTTCAGGGCTGTTAAGCACCCAGACCTGCTGCTACGTGCCTCCCTCAGCCCTTCATCTGCATCTTACAAAACCACTGCATCCACCCTCCCAACTTACAACAGAGCAACTGCCACCTGTTGCTTTACGCCAAGCAGACAGGAGAAAAGCAAAACTGATTTTTCAGTTTGCAGAGGCAGATACTGTGCAGCACTTCCAGAAACGCTCAGGAAGCAGGCTGGTAGAAAAGGCTCAGGACTGTATCAGAAGGATTACGATGATTCACATTTAGCAGTCGTGTATCCTCTTTCCACAGAGCTGCTAAAAGTAGGTCACCATCCTCTATCAGAAAGGTACTGTGACACCCATATCTCAATCCCAACAAGGGATCAATATATTCCTTGCAACAAAGAAACTAAAATTAACAAAGATAGAAATTTTCCTAAGATACTGTTTGTCCATTTCCTCCTACCAACACCTAGCATGAGGGATGCCTAGGAACCGAGCCTCAGCTTCCCCAAAAATAATGTTTCAGAGACTCAAACTGATTCTGTGACAGATTAAACCGAGGCCTCATTCAAATTTCTTTGATTTGAAGCCAACGCAATCTTCAAAACACGTAAATTTCTGTTTTATTACATCCTTTACACTACTCTGCCACCCACATATATACTTACAAGGGTCCCCAAAGCTAGTCAAAACCAGTCAGTCCAGCAAGACTGGAATGAAGACTGAAAAGGGCACACACATATGGATGCAGGAATTTGGATTTCTCCAGGCAAAGCAGAGGGGGAATGAGTAGCTTTGCACCTATCAATTAAGTCTTACAGAATCTTGGAAAGTCAGGGTATAAAATCCACCATTCACCTCAGAAAGGGCCTTGAGGTGGTGATTATATTCACAACGTCTCATTCAGTCCTGCAAGAACGCAGACTGACACTGCAGAATGACATTACACTCAACTGCAGAACAGCTAAGCCATTTAAATTCCTCCACTATTTGTCCTTAAATACAACCCAGGAAATGATCTAACACGGTGTTTGTCACAAGAGCTTGGCATCACCTCATCCTAATTAACTATTTGTAAAGGAAGCCTACTGTTCAAAGGGAAATCAGCAGGAGCACTTGTGCAAAGTCCTTTGCTTTGCAACACGTGGGGTTGCTGGGTTTTTGGGGTGTCAGCATTAACTGCCCTCAGCAACCACACCCAGCTCAGCTGCAGTGCTAAAACACAGATTTATCTGTCCAGCAATGTACAAGAAATACACATTCCTCCTGTGTTATACAACTGCTCAATTAAACTAATAATTATTACAGAGAAAAATGTTAAAATGCCTGAAGAAAGATTTAAACGCTTTGACCAAACCTACAATCTTTATAGAGCCCTTAGTCAGAAGTCCACAGGAGTTAGTAGAGTAACACGCAGCTAATTATCAGCATTTTGCTTTATAAATATGCCATTTAAACCTGAACATGCACAAGAGGCTGGCCCAGCCCTCATTCCACTCCGATTAATCCAGTAAGTAATAACAATAATGTGAGCACTAGCAGAAATCAAACATTCACACTATGAATTTGGCTGGAAAGGTCTCAAAGACAGTAAATGCTTCTCCACAAAACTGTTTTCTTGATATAATTTTCTCAGGCCTTGATTCCAACAGGCAATTAAATACTACCCTTCTACAGATTTATCTTTTTAATGTGAGATAGCCCAAGTTGGTTGTTTCAAAGCACTGGGTTGCTTTGGCTCTCACCAAAGCTGCTTTAACACACCTATCACACACCTGCTCAGCGTGGCCAACACTGCTCACCATAAAAGGCAATAAAAGACACAGTGTAAGCTCTGGAGAGACAAGAAGTCACACCCACGACTAAAATTCACCTCTAATACATGGATGTGCCATGTCAGAGGTAGAGCTGTATGTATTTTTTAATCACTGCATTCAGAAAGAGATCTAGTCATTAACAATGCTAATGTAATACTTTAAGATTCTATTTGTAAAGGTAATAAAGATGATAAAGAACTTTATAGATTCATATTTGGACATATAAACACCAGAAATCCCCAACCCTATAAAGATAACACAGTAACAGCCAGGCAGGATGGATACTTCTAAGAATCCACACTTCCAAGGATCCTAGGGATCACTTCTCTTTTAGATTTCTGTGAGCATGTCAGGGATGTAATGGACACACAACATGCCTGAATGAAGTCCTTCAGAAGAAGCTGTGCTTTTGCTGTACAAAAATCTACTCATGTTATAAAGCCATTTAAATCACTCAGGACCAAAAAGTTACGAGGAACTTCATAGAGTCATAAACAAAACAAAAAAACAGACAATATAACAATCATTGAAATTCAGCACAGTTGGAAAGCAATTTTTAGTCACCCATGATGCAGAATGTTACATCAGCTGTATCAAGAGCAGGAGATCCCAGCAGAAACAGGCGACTCAACCAAGATTACAGCATCTCATGTTTCTATGATTTCCACTAATGACATGTTAGATTGCAAAGCAGACAGGAGGGGAGTACTACAAAGAATATTGTTAACAAGAGCTCCAAGTGAAATTAGTACAAGATAATGCTTTGCTTGCAGGGGTGGGGCTCATGCACATCCTTCTCAGGCATCTGGTGTTACGTATGTACTGGCAGAGACAAGATTAAATTGGATGAACCTCCATTCTGATCCAGTTTGGCAAGTTGTACATGCTTATGCTTCTGTTGCATTTTAGAGAGTAGTGCAGGTTTGGACTTGGTTAATTCCAAGTGAACGAATAATGATTCTTACTGAAACCTTACAATGAAGCAGGGAATTCACTCAGTTGCTTCATGGATCTTCTGTACATGTTGGTAAACATACTAATGGTGGTGTTAATGATATTGAAGTCTCAGAGGTTGAAAGCAGGGTGCTGCTGGTCTAGTTGCAATTGCAGTTTTACAAACTGTGGTACATATCACAAGTATAATGTGTGTTAAATCTGTGAACAAATAACATTGACAGCTAGCAGCTGTTCAGTAAAATGAACTGGAACTTTATCTTTCTGGAGACAGAAACACATAAGTAATATCTATTTGAAAAGCATAGAAAAGAACCACCATTAAAGCAAACTCACAAGACAAAATAAGTCATAACAGTACTGAATTTACGTTTCACAATTCAGATTAAAAAATAAAGCAAAACCTATTTGTCTGAAGTGCCTGATCTTTTCTGAAGAATCCTAGGGCAACACCTCCGGAAAACCTATATGATAGAGCCACCTGTCATCGTATCTGAAGAACTGCACACTTCTTCATTTCCTGACACAGAAGATAATGCTATCAAGAAGTGCTGCAGTGAAGGCAGGCAATCAGTAAGAGCAGAGAACTTGCATACGCAGCTCCAAGTTCAGTTACACTGAGTGCACAGAAGAAAACAGTTCTTCAAAACATTGGTGTAACTACCATTTAACACCAAAATGTAAGGAACACAAATACTTCTAGGCATACTTTGGAAATATCTATCAACATACTTAAAAGTGCTTGTATAGAGACACAAACTGCTGGCTGCTTATAGCAAATGGACAAACCAGTCTCAACTCAGCTGCAAATAGCAGGGGGGTTGAAACTAGATGATCATTGTGGTCCTTTTCAACCCAGGCCATTCTATGATTCTTGACTGTGCAGTTACAACTGCAATATATAAAACTGGCAGCACCAGCAGTATTTTTAGCACCAGCAGTAATACTGGCAGTGCTTGGGCTTGCCTTTACCAAACTCTGGATAAGACTCTGGATAAGTTGGTTTAAACTAACAGATGAAACTAACAAGTCTCAAGAAAAAACAACTCATGAAAACCTGATATACCACAGAGACAGGGAACTCACACGTAGGAGATCTCAGCACTTCCTCCTGCTGAATGTTTGCTTCAGATCCTGGATGTAAAATCTCAGGTATCTAATTTCAGATTGTAAATTCTCACTGGACAGAATGCCAGTAAAGCACTTCAGCACTGCTGATGGAAGTCTCTTTAGTACGTCTTTTAGTATTACTCTAAAAATAATGCCTCCTATTTATTCCCATGGAAACTATGACAAAGAGCACAACAATATTATTTGATATAGCAAATCCTCAGCTACAAAACCTTACTTTTTCAACACAGTCACCACAATTAACTATGCATTTTCACCAGTGATGACCAAGAGTCTGCATGCTATGCTCATAAAAATCTGCTCCAGCAGATGTGAGCCACTGTCACCACTGCTGAAATGCACCACCCACCACCCCACTGTGCTCACTGCAACTGTTTGGTCTCCAAGTGTTCAGTGAGCATTGATGAATGTCAATAGGTGCAAGTGTTTCCTCATGGAGGAATTCAGTTACACCCCATTGCTTCACACACACACTTCCATGCCAGATGTCATTCTGTCTGACTGTCCCTCTGTTGCCATCTGTCACACAGCAACAAAATGGAACAGAATGTTGGTGGGAAAGTTCAGCCTGTACTGCCAACAGATTCTGACATTGTGGGCCAGCAAAATAGGAGGCATTACTTTCAGAGCAGTCCTCATATGTTGAATCTTTCAACAGATTTCCTTTCTAGCGCCTCTGTGATGTAATGAAAGACACAAAGGGACAATAAGTAGCCCTCTTTTCACAAAGTGTTCATCAGTGCATCCTACTTAGCAAATGCTACTCGCAGTTGCTGGTTTGACCAAGAGATGGCACTATCCGTACACAGCCACTGCAGTGCGGTGATGTGAGGAAACAACCTGCTCGAATCTCTGAACCAAGAGAGTGGTTTAGACAAACTAACACATATTCTGCAGAGGTGCATTTAAAAAAAATACTGATCAGTGAAGAAAGTCTGTTTGAGCGCGATCAATGGCTTAAATCTTACATACACTTAAAGAGCATGGATCAGCAACTATATATACTGAGTACAGCCCTTTATAATAAAAAGTTCAAAACATTAACACTAAAGTCATTTACAGTTGATACAGAAAAAAAACATGAACAATTAAAAAAAAATCACATTATTTTCTGGACATCTCCCCACTGCCCACAGAGTCTTTCCTGATTTCTGCAAATCTGGTGACCTCCATGTTTAGTAATAAAAGTCAAAGTAGTCAAAGCTTGTCATGAGTCAGCAACGTGCCCTTGCTGCAAAGGAGGCTAATAGTATCCTGGGCTGCATTAGGCAGAGCACTGCCAGCAGATGGAGGGATCCTTCCACTCTACTCTGCACTAATAAGACAACACCCTGAGTACTGTGTCTGGTTCTGGGCTCTCCAGTACAAGAGAGACATGAGACTACAGGTACAGTTCAACAAAGGGCCACAAAACAACGAAGGCACAGGAACAATTCACATATAAGGGAAGTCCTAGAGCTGTGGGGCTTCTCAACCCAGAGAACAGAGGGCTCAATGCATATAAACACCTGAAGCAAGCACATAAAGACTGAGCCAAGCTCTTTTCAGTGGTGCCCACTGACTGGACAAGAGGGAATGGGCACAAACCAAAAGAAAGGAGGTTCTGTCTGAACATCTGAAAATGCTTTTACTGTGAGGGTAGCTGAGCTATGGAAAAGGTTGCCCAAATAAGCTGTGGAATCTCTCACTTTGGAGATATCCTAAAGTCATCTGGACACAGTCCTGGACAGCTTCTTCAGCCTGGCCCTGCTTCAGATGGGAAGGTTGGACAACATGACCTCCAGAGGTCCCCTTCCAACAACAATCAGTCTGGAATTCTGTGAATGTACATTTATATGTTATGTAGAAATATATGTATATAACAATCACTATATTTACAGCACAGCCTCAATTATATATTATTGTATATAATACATGATATACGTGCACAATATATTATATTGTATTTAATATACATAGAATTGAGGTGATGCTGCAAGTAAGAGATTTCATATTTTTCTTGCTTAAATGCATCAGATAAGCTACTGTAAAGTTTAATACTCAAATAATAAGAAAATTGGAAAGCTCACTGGACTATATTTAGCAGCAGCTATTGAGTATAAATCCAAATCTCATTCTGGAATGACTGCAGCTACTTCCAAACGCATCACTGCATTTTTAAGAGTTGGGTCCCTTTCTCTCATTGTACGTGTCTACACTAATCTCTGCTTGCTATTTTATGTTTCTGTCATTCAGTATCAGCATATTCCCCTACAACTTCTCCAAAGCTGCCACCTTCATCTTTATTACTCAGAATAACTGAGCACACTTTGCCACCTTTTTCTTGGTTTCCCAAATTATTCATGAACCTGTAGAAGATGATGGACTTCTGCAAACCACTGGCGACTCGTTCCTCTGTGAAAAGTTTATTATTGCTGTCTTACTTTCTGTCTTTTGACCATTTATCAATACAGTGACCTCCCTTCCTTCCATCTTATAGCAACTTTCTCATGTATTTAGTCCAAGCCTTCGGTGTGATGTTTTTGAATAATCTGCATTACACTGCAGAAATTCTACTTTTCACAGTTTTTGCTTTTAGCAAGTTTCCTCATTTAACTGGCTTCATATTTTTAAATTAGGCACAAGTGCACTGGCCATACTGACTTTCTGTTTACTCACTGAAGGGTTTAGGATCTAAGTACCTTACAGTCACTGGTAGAGAGCAGCTCTTCTTCAAGGCTAACACTTAAAAGTGCATTCTGTTCATAGTTGAGGGCCAAGTTAAAATTTGCATTTCCTATTCTGGGGTCTGTAACACACAGTTCTTTGAAGAAGAGGTTTTTAAAGGCTTCACATCGATTGTGGAATTTAACCTTATCCATACCAAAGAAAAGTCACCTTTTCAACTCTAACATGGCCTGACAGATAAGAGCCCTCAACTTCTGCACAGCAGGCCAGCAAGATAAGCTGAAGGAGAAGGGACAACATCACGACACACCCTTTATAAAGAAACTAAGCAAACAACTTTGCAAGTAGATTATTTTTAAAGAAAGCTGAAGGAAGGAGACATCACCCACCAGATCAAGTGGAGCTGAAGACTGCCACCGTACAAGGGAAGGAGCCATGGGCCAAGGTAAGTAATAACCAGCTCTGCTAGACCCAAGCATTTGCCATTTGTCTGCCAGGAGAAAAAATAGTCCCTGACCCAAGACAGTGTTCATTAGGCCAGAAGAGACGAGATGAGCTTTCTTGGCTACAATTCTGAGTAGCCAAGAAAGTGGTACAAAGTCTAAGGGAGTTATCCTTAATGTACAGGCGAGAGAGATTGAGGTAAACCAAACTACAGAGTTGAAGCAGAGAGATGACTAAGTGTTTTAGCCACTTGAGGAAGGAGAGGCCTCATGTGCACAACTTCCATCATGTATCCACAAGGAGTGGAGCTGCTTTGAGTCCCATTAGTGTCCTTGAGCACACACTGAGATTCCAACTGCAGTCACAGTGAACGCTCAGGTGTGTTCCACGTCTATTGCTGGGCAGAAAGAGCTTTGCAAAGCCATTTTGCTCACTTAACATTGCTAAGGCATAAACAAAAGCTGCTCGTTAGCCACCTGAGACAAGACAACACCAGCTCACAGTGAAGGTCCTGACAGTTACTGGTCAGGAACTTTCAAAGGCAGGGGCACCATCTGAGTGGAGAAGCAAATAGGTGCCTTAGGATGAGGCCCAGGGCCAGAGTGTAAGCAGCTCACTATCTCAACCTCATTTTATCTTCCCAGGTCTGAGTGTCAAAAAACATGATCTTAAGATCATAATGAACAACAGTAATCACCACACAGAAGAAATCAGCATTGAAAGGCTTATTGTGAGGCGGGGGCAGCCTTTCATTATCACAGTGAGCTTCTCATCTCCACTACACAACTACCTGAAGCATCTGAAAAGGACCTTCCTCTCTGTACAGACAGGTAACATTACCAAACCTTTTAAAGCTCTTGTCCAACAGCCACATGAAGAACAGTGCTGGTAGGCATATCCAGAGCGGGTAGGCATCGCCAGAGCTGGACAGGTTTAGAAGTCAGGCACACAGTTTATCTAAACCAGAGTAGAGCCTCCTGCTGCTGGGACTGCAAGGTCAGAGCTAAACCTTTTTCTAGAAAAGAGGTTGTAGCACAATAACCAATGCAAGTTCACTGCTCTACGATTTGCAAGTACACACTCTTTCTTGTGGCTTTTGGGTTAGGTATGTTTAAACTAACCCTGCTGCAGATGTTTTCTGTTCCAGACTGTTTTCCAGTGATAGCCCCAAGTAGGGCAGGACCATTCAGTTCCAGCTTGCTTTACATGCTCTATATTTGATCACGTGGCTGTGACTTTTGTCACAAGACACAGTATCCCAGAAGCTGCATTCTGTTTCTAGTTTCTATACTGTATGAAATACACATTCCACTTTCAAACAAGGTGGCCTTAGTCCACTACTAACCTCAAAAAGATATATAACCTTTAAGATAGAAGCATTAAGGTAAGCACTAAGCTAAAGGGTTAAGACTCACCTACATGGAAAGAGAGCTATGGCTCCAGACCTAGACATGGTAGCTAAAACCTGCAGTGGATGGCTTGCAATACAAGTCTGGAAAATGTATCTCTTTTGCAGCAGGACCACAGCGCTCTAAA